ACCGTTTCTAGACTTATCGAAGGAAGTTTAGAAGTCAAACTTCCGACAATATGGAGAGATGAAAAGCAGAGCAGGGCAGAGGCAGAGAGAAGAGGAAGATTAGAAGAGAGAAGATCAGAAGAGAAAGAGTAAGAAGACAGAAGATACAGATGCGCGAAAAGGTAGGAAAGTCGCGAAACACTGTGTTTTCCCAATGATTTGTGGCTCCGGAGGGTCGAAAAGTAGGCTCGCTAAAGCGGCGGGTGCGGAGCCAGCTGGCCACAGGAGCGATGAAAAATTGCACGCCGTTGTGGCGCGAAGCACATTTCGAAGTCAAAATGTGCAAAACACCAGGGGTTCGGATCACTTTTGGAAGTTGAGATGTCGAAAAAGTGCACGCCGTTGTGGCGCGAAGCACATTTCCAAGTCAAAATGTACAAAACACACCAGGTCCGGACCACTTTTGGAAGTTGCGATGTCGAAAAAGTGCACGCCGTTGTGGCGCGAAGCACATTTCCAAGTCAAAATGTACAAAACACACCACGTTCGGACCACTTTTTGAAGTTGCGATGTCGAAAAAGTGCACGCCGTTGTGGCGCGAAGCACATTTCGAAGTCAAAATGTACAAAACACACCATGCTCGGACCACTTTTGGAGGTTCGGATGTCGAAAAAGTGCACGCCGTTGTGGCGCGAAGCACATTTCGAAGTCAAAATGTCCAAAACACTAGGGGTTCGGACCATTTTTGGAGGTTCAGATGTTGAAAAAGTGTACGCCGTTGTGGCGCGAAGCACACTTCGAAGTCACACTACATTACAGTACATTACACTCCAGTACACTCCACTACACTAACTTACACTACACCACACTACATTACACTGAATGACACTGCAACACAGATAGACAGGTAGACAGCTAGACAGATAGACAGATGAAAGGGAGAGAGAGATAGACAGGTAGGTGGATAGATAGATAGATAGGTAATTAGATGAAAGAGAGAGAGAGAGAGGCCAGCTGGGTAGATGAGATAGATAGATAGATAGATGGCTAGACAGACAGACAGAAAGACAGACAGATCGATAGACAGACAGACAGACAGACAGATAGATAGATAGATAGAGAGATAGATAGAAAGATAGATAGATAGATCGATAGATAGATACATCCATAGATGCATAGATCGATACATGATGGACATGGAGAGATAGATAGATACATAGAGAGATAGATAGATAGATAGACGGAGAGATAGATAGAGAGAGAGATAGATAGATAGATCGATAGATAGATAGATCGATAGATAGACAGATAGATAGACACATAGATAGGTCGATAGATAGATAGACACATAGATAGATACATAGATAGATGGACAGACAGACAGATAGATAAATAGATAGATCGATAGACGGACAGATAGATAAATAGTTAGAGGGACAGCTAGAGAAATAGATGGCGAGACAGACAGATAGATACATGGACACATAGACAAATAGTTAGACACCACGACAAATAGAGACAACAACTACACAACAACTACAGCTACAACTACAACAACAACTACAACTACAACTACAACAACTACAACTACAACTGCACAACAACTACAACTACAAAACAACTACAACTACAACTATATGACTGCAACTACACTACACTAATTACATTACACCACAACTACAACTCCACTACGCTACAACTACAACTACAGTTGCAGTACATCACACTACATCCAGCAGTTGTGGGTGAGGTGACCACTGCAACCATTGCAACCACTCCAGCAAACACAACTCCAACCACCTTTCGGTCAATCACAACAACCAAGCTCTCCTATAGGTTTCCTATTCTGAAACTTCCGCCACCGCCTTGTGCGGTACTACTGGTAGATTTATAGACCACAAATGGTTCGGTATCCTTTAGTCAATATGCCATTGTGGGTTGGTTTCTCCTGTCCTGAGCTGATTGGTTATCTGGTTATCCCGATCTCCCAGACATCCCAGTTACATACTACCAACATCTCTATGTTGATGACACCCGACACAAAAACAAGACTTGTTTTAACATACCACATGCTCCGTGTATGAAACATGTATCTATCTACATGTCATGTGGTTGAATTTTTCTTAATGGCAAATGTTGTTCAATATTCCAGCACCACGGTGCACTGTAGTGTAGGTAACTTGGGAAATATTGATACATGTTGGTCAATGTTGGTAAATATTCCAATTTACCTACATGTGGATACGAGGGGGTGCCCGCTAGTTGTAATTTGGTTTATAAACCCCTTTAACTAGTTTGAGATCACCACAAATCCTATGAAATGTTAGAAACCCACTCTTCGCGTTTTTTTTCTTTGAAATCCTCACTGATTTACCAACCTGGGGCAGCAAAATCCCAGGTGATGAGTATCCGGTGAATACGAAGGATCCCGACTTCCTCGAGGACGGGTTGACAGGGCTGTGCTGCCCGGCAGCTATGACATGCGTTCAGAACGCTCTGGCGGTATGGGTTATGATATGGG